GGGGCCAGAGTAGCTGGGGTGGAGTATCTGTCTGGATCTCCCCTTGTCGTTCTGGTGGGAGTTCCCCCCTGCAGGGTCTGTGCTTGTGCTGCTGTGGCCTCCAGGCTGATGCGCCCATGGTAATGAGAACTCAGCCCTCTGTCTTCAAATTCTCATGTCTCGGTGAACCCACCTCAGCTCCACAGCATCACTTGCCAAGTCTCCTCTAATTACAAAATTGTCCCTGATTTGGGATTGCAGAGATCCATGTAATGGGGTCCTCTGGTTAAGAGTGTCGCCCAGTGATTTGGAAATCTTGATGGCTAGAGAGAGAGAACATCACTATGGTAAAGCTGCCAGCACTCTTCTGACTCATATTTTGGGGAGGACACTAACGTGCCTTTGGTTTTGCGGTAGTAATAGCAGAATTCTATTCCAGCATGGAGAAGCCTGAGGCACTGCTATGTAATAGGTTATCTTCACTGTGGGCAGAAATTTATGGGGAGATGATTAAGTTGGGAAACAGGCTGAGACCCAGGTTGAACACAAAGAAAACTGAGAATAGGGGTCCTGTTCTTTGGGTGGAGCATCCAGTAGCCCCGTAATAGGTTATCTTCACTGTGGGCAGAAATTTATGGGGAGATGATTAAGTTGGGAAACAGGCTGAGACCCAGATTGAACACAAAGAAAACTGAGAATAGGGGTCCTGTTCTTTGGGTGGAGCATCCAGTAGCCCCCCTGCAGGGAGAGGCAGGTCTGTGGCCCTGCAGCAGGTCCTAAGGTACAAGGGAGGGTCAGGAGAAGACCCTTTGGCAAGGTCCAGCCTAAGACCACTGGAGCTCTGATTTCCAGGATCCAGTTTTAATGCTTTTTCATTCCACAATATGATTCCTGCTCAGAACTTTAGTGAAGTTTTCTCAGCTTTTCTCAAGTTTGTCTTAGCCTTGACTGTGCTTTGAGGAAGGGCCTGTGATCATGTCTGGGATGGCATGGTGAGTGTGGCTGCAGCCTGGAGAAGCTGGTTACAGGGTGACAAGAGGTGACCTACAGGGAATGGTAGGGTGGCCTGGGATGAGAGATGGGTCTGGTGTCAACCAGAATGGATTTGTGGAACATATGAGCATCCCTGGGCATCTCAGGAATGTTGGGGTCAGGGAATCCTGGTAAACAGTACATGGGATGCTGTATGGATATTCAAGTGTGGGCTGGAGACCTTGGGCACATTGATGTGGCACATGTCACACAGACCCTGCAGGAAGTGGAATTTGAAGGCAAGTGACCTAGCTAAGGGGGTCAGGGCTCCTTAGCCCCCTGGATGTCCTCTGTCCAAGTGCTGCCCTGTAGCTCAGCTGGGAAAGGCATTTCTTGCCTCTCATTGCACGGGCCCTGCTGACCGCCAGCCCCAGCGTTGTCCAGCTCACTGCCTCCTGCTGCGTCCTGCCCATTACTTGTGGATCCCACTAGCTCCACAATGCTCTCTATAGGCAGGATGGACAAAACGGGGCTTGCCAGCAAGTCACATAAACGCAATACATGTCAGTGATGTGATGTGCTTGCCAGAAGTAAAGAAGCAGATAGGTAAACAGTCCTTTTCTCCTCAGGGCAGGTCAGACAGATTTAGTCCCACTTCAGATCCAGGCATCACATTTGAAGAAGTGGGATTTTCTTCAGGTGAAGGTAAAGGAAGGTGAGAGCTTAAAACCTGTTGCTGTTGAGTGGAGGTGGCTTGAAGAACTGTCTGTGAGAGACTGGCCAGATGTTCACTAATTCTGCCTCCTCCTCCTACAGACATAGGAAAACTACATTTCCCAGCCTCCCTTGCAGTTAGGTTGGGGCCATGTGACTGGCATCCGGCCAATGGAGTGTGAGTACCGACCACTTCAGACCTGGCTGTAAACCCCTGTGAGATTCTTCCTGTGCCACTCCCCCTACCTGTGCGGATGGGAAGGGAAGGCCCCAAGATGATGGAACCTCTTGATAGAAAGATCCTGAATCACTGCCATCACTTAGGAAAAGACTTGCCAGAAAGCAGGCTCTCATTGACTTTGCATGAATGTGATAAACTTTTATTGTTTTAAGGCATTGTGATTTGGGGGGTTTATTTATTGCTACAGCATAATCCAGCCTTGCCTAATACAAGGTTGGAAGGTTAACGCTAAGAAGCAGGATATGAGGAGCTGTCTTCAAATACCAGTACCTGAAGGGCCATGTGGCTTCAGCAGCCACAATGAAGGCCAGTGGGAAAGTGGTTCTACTTTGGCTCATTAGGAGTTAAGATTTTCTGCTCAACCTTGGAATGACTTGTCTTGGGTAGTAGTGAATTAGCTGTCACTGGAGGTGTTTGTAGAGAGACTGGACCATCATTTTGGGGGGATGTAGAGATGATACTTCATGGAGATGGAGTTGGATATCATGACCTTTCTGGTACATTCCAGCACTAATATCTAGTGTCTAATCTAGCAGTGTCGTTCTGATTGTTGAATTAAAGCCAATGGGATTGAAATCCCACCACTCCCCCAGAGCACTGGGCTCCATCGTGACTCCACAGTGGACACCATCAAAGACCAGTATCTTGCCAGGCGAATTCAAGGAGTGAAAGCTTTAGGATTACCAGCTGCAAGAAGCAGGTTTTTCAGAAAAGCATTGAGCCAAGAGGGCCAAATTCTGGCTCTCTTTTGGTTGTACTAGTCAGAGAAAAGCAGCAGATGGGGATGTATTCTGTGCTGAAAATTTCTCCCACTCTCATCTGGCCAACCCACAGACCAGTGTGTATAAACAGGAAGATGAGCCCTTGTCTTATTAAGCAACACTGATGAGTAAGAAAGGAATCTTAATGGCTTCTACCACCTTCAGTCCAAGCCAGATAGACTTGTTCTTCCACCCATTCTCTCAGGAGAGATAGGAGTCTTAATCCCCAATAATGTCCCTACATAGTCTGTTTGGAAGAAGGATCTACTCTTCCAGAACACTCCAGAACTCCAGCAGCCTGAACCAGAGAGGGATTAAGTAACCAAAATGAAATTTATGTCTTAACATGATGCACTTAATCCTTAGTAATGAATACAAAATCTGCCAGTTGAGAAGATGCTCCAGCCTAAAGAGGACTGTCAACAACTGTGGGCCTCCCCAGACAGAACCCAGTCATTGAGGACAGCCCCAAAGAGATGAATCCACAGACCCTTCTGCTTTGGAAATCTTTTGTAGAGAGGCAGGGATGGTCTGATGAAGCCCTTCCTCACTGAGGAGCAGCTCTCCAGCAGGTACAAGGGGTCACGTGGTCAAGGACAGAGGGAATGGTACTCTCCAAACCACAAGGCTGGGCTCTGTCCTTGAAAGGAGGTGGCCAAGTTAATTCTCAGAGTGGATTTGCTAAAGAGCTGGATGACACTGTATAGATCTCAAGAGGAGTGAGAAAAGACTCTACTTCACTTGAGGGCTCTCTCTTTCTTGGCTACTTGCAGGGTTGATCAAGGGCAAATCCCCAGTTGCTCTGTTCAAGTTTTCTCTGAGAAGGTCAATCCCTAGACCTTCCTGACTCTTTGGGGTGTTTCGAGGGTCCTCTAGATCCCCCTGGTGTTAGAAGATCCCCCTTCCCCCATAAGGACTGCAGCACACTCCTGCTATGACTGGTTACTTTGCTTTATTTGCAGACTGAAGTTTGCTACATAAACCCATTGCACAGTCCAACACATGTATACTTAGTGTAAAAGAGAGGACAATACAAAAATACAATTTTTGATAGTAAATGGAACCATCCTCACCTAATCCCAGTCCATGCCAGTGGAAACACCAGTGTTTAAGGTCGAAATAGGGGTAAATACTGTGGAATGAGGAGGCGTGAAGGGCCCAACCAATGCTATTGCCCTAGTATGATCCTGAGATGGGGCTGGGTGATCTCTTCTTGGCTTTGTGGCCATTTCTGCCACCTTCAAACCAGGTCACTTCTTCCTCCAGGAAGGGGAAGAGGACCTCTGCAGGTCACTGGAGGTCCTTCACAGGGAGCTGGGACAGAGGCTGCCCAGTCAAAGCAAAGTGTAGGCCTGGGACTGTAGTAAGCATTTGTCCCTCAGGCACATCCTGCCAGGGCTGTCTGCCTCTGGGCACCCTGATGGGTTAGAGACACAGGGTAAGGGATCAATCTCTTGGAGCACGGGGAGAAGATGGGAAGGGAAATTGATCTCTCCCCAGGCTCCCAGGTCTGGTGATTCCAGGCAGATGGAAATGGAACTTAATTAGGAGGAATCTGTGTAGGGAATCTGCTTAAAGGCACACTGGCTTCAGGCCCCTGTCCTGACACTTGAGCTTCAGGGCTGACTTTCGAAAGGACCGCAGACATCTCCCTGGGGAGCCCCAGCGTTTGTTTTCCACCAGCCTTCGGGCTCAGGGAAACGTGTTCAACTGTCCCTGTGAAGTTATGTTGTGGCTGGAGCTAGGGTTTCTCTTCTGCCTGTCACTGCCCCACTGTCCCTGCCCGCTACTCCCAGTGCCCAAATGCCTCCCCACCTTCCTCCCCCACATCCAATCTCCCTTCCCACTCTGTTGTGGGGTGGGATCAAGTATTAATGGTGACAGTACAGCTCCATGTGTCACATCGTCAGGTAACACTGGTATACTTGCACAGGTATCACCTGTGACAACAAGGGCTCTGGCAGGTGAACCCCCAGGGACCCTCCCTCCCCTCCCAATCCCCTCACTCTCCGCCACCCCAGCTGCTCTTTGCACACCTCCTGGAAGCGACAGCTCCCTGCCTTCCTCCCACCAGCGGCGCAGCCAGGCATCACCCCAGCTGGCAGCGGAGGCCACCCGGCAGCAGCGAGCAGACAGGGCTGATTCCCACCCTCAGCAGCGCCACCGGGCTCATCCCGGGGCCAGGGAGGCCTTGCGGCGGCTGGTCCTGCGCTCCCTCCGGCAGAAAGAGGCCCGTGCGCCTGGCAAGCAGGAGGCAGGCCCGGGACCACGAGGCCCGTCGGCGGGAGGCCCTTGGGCCACCCAGGCTAGGCCAGCCCGCCCGTGGGTGACCGTCACACGCCAGGCGAGTTGGGGCTCTGGAAGGCCGAGTGGAGCTTGGTCAGCAGCTCGGGCTCCTCGGCCTGGGCCCCGCTCTTGCCCGAGGCCTCGGGCGCGGCCAGCGGGTAGGCCTCCCGGGCCCGGCCGGTCCTGGAGCAGGTGAGGAAGGCCAGGCAGGCCCCGCGGAGGCGGGCCAGGTCCCTGTGGGGGGTCTCGCTGACGAAGCAGTAGAGCACGGGGTCGGCGACGCAGTTGAAGCTGGTGAGGAGGAGGGAGAAGTGGTAGGCGTTGAAGACGCCCTGCGCGAACTCGCAGCTGGCCTCCCAGAGGCTGCGCACCAGCAGCAGCACGTGGTAGGGCAGGAAGCAGGCCAGGAAGATGACCACGGTGCTCAGCACCAGCCGCTGGATCTGGTCCTTGCGGCTCTTCTGGGTGCCGTGGCTGCGGCGCACGGCCCGCAGGATGCCCTGGTAGGACACGAGCAGCAGGCAGATGGGGAAGAGGAAGCCCACCAGGAAGCGGTAGTAGTTGATGCCGCGCTGCCAGGCCTCGATGGGGTAGTGCTCGAAGCAGACGCGGTGCTGGTTCTCGTCCTCGATGACCTCCTCGTGCACGAGGAAGTAGATGCTGGTCAGCAGCTCCTTGGTCCAGATGACCACGCTGACGGCCACGGCCGCCTTCAGGGTCCGGAACTGGTGGAAGCGGAAGGGATGGGCCACGGCCAGGTAGCGGTCGATGGAGATGCAGCAGAGGAAGCCCACGCTGATGTAGATGTTCTCGTACAGGAGGATGCCGCACACCTGGCAGGACAGGTCGCCGTGGGACCAGTCGTCGTGCTGCAGCACGTACTGCAGCCAGAAGGGGAGCGAGCAGATGTAGAAGAGGTCCGCCAGCGTCAGGTTGCACAGGTACACGCCCAGCTCGTTGCGGGCCTTGATCTGCAGGTAGCCGAAGTAGAGGGACAGGCAGTTGGCTGGGAAGCCCACCAGCAGCACTGTGACGTAGACCACCGGGGCCAGCGTCTGGTGGATGGTGTGGTCTATGGCACAGCTCAGCGAGGAATTGTCCGTGGTGATGTTCCCCATCTTTGGGTCTGAAAGGGCCTCCCCCTGTCACGGGCTCGGGGCCTGGGCCAGACTCTCCACTGCCATCTGGTTTACAGAAGGGTTCAAGCTACCTCAAGGCCTGGGCATGACTGGTGGTGGGTGAGCCCTGAAAGTCAAAGGCAGGACAGGCTTAAAATAATAGCAACTAACGTTTACATAACAGCCGCTGTGTGTCACGCACTGTTGTAAACGCTTTACTCAGTTCAGAAGGTGTACCAGCCAAGCAACTCCAGTTCGACCAGAATATCCGAATGGGTCACACACCAGGACACTGAAGTGTGCCTTATGTCTCCCCATCCCTCTTCCCTGGCTGACCTTATTTACTCGCTGTCCCTTGTTTGCTTTCCTGGTTCCTCGGTGCATAGTAAGGCTGGGAGTTCTCATGAGCATGAGCCTATCCTCAGCCCTCTCTCCAAGGGAGGCTCAAGGTAAAGGTCAACTTCAACCCACACGAGGTTGACAGTGAGGGCACCGGCCACCCTCATCTACAGCGTCCTTCACCTTTCTCCTACTTGCTCGTGGGAATGTACTGATTAGATCCGTTAACACAGAGGCCACCGTCCCTTCTGGGGGCCTATCCAGACAGCATCAGGAGAGGCCCAGCCTTGTCTACGTCCTACTGGGTTCTGGCAAGAAACAAAAGCCCAGCTTCCCGCAGGGCACTGCCTGGATTTGGGGGTGCCGTCTGCAGGTGCCGCCTCTCCCCTCCTCCACGGAGCTTGGGGAAGGCTCTGGACCCAGGCCGGAGAGATATGAGCACCAGGCCAGAGCCAGAGCCTGACAGGCCATGCGAGCCACTTACCTTGTCTGAGCCTCAGTTTCCTCACCTGTAAAATGGACATAAAAATGCCTACCCTCGGGGTCAATATCAGGACCACATCAAATGACAGATGTGAAAATACTGAGCTTTGTTTTTCCAGAGGCCGAGAGGGGAATACAAGGTGGTAATCTTACTCGAATTAGTAAAGAGTTCATATTGTCAAGAATTAACAAACAATATGCCAAACATACAAATAAGTTTGAACAAGATAGAATAAAATGTTTTGTTGTAAGCCTACTTTATAAATTAAGATATCAAAATGAAAGGCCTGAGTTGCTCTATTGATTTAACACTTCTCTCTCAGATGAAAAATCTCACTGTGTCTAAATCAATATTTTTCAAACTGTTTTTCATTGACACTCCTCTAAGGAGCCTTTTTAGACACTTTTTTCTTTTTTTTTCTTTGTAATTTTTACTTGTAAATTTCTTTTTTTTTTTTTTTCCTTTTTGTCTTTTTCCATGTCTGGCAATGGATCGCAACCCTCAGTGTCGCCCCCGTACCGGACCAGGACCGGCAACGGGATCGCAACCCTCGGTGTTGCTCCCGCGCCTCGCTCAGCCAGTGAGCGGGAACCGGTCTGTATGTGGGATCTGAACCCTCGGCGGGAGTGCCGCCACGCTTCCCAAGCGGCGCACTATAGCAGTGCACCACCGGGCCGGCCCCATTTACTTGTAAATTTCTTATACATAGACTTTTTTTCCTAACCATTCCCTCCCCACCTTCCAATGAAACTTTAATATCACAGATCTGCTGCATATCAGTTTATATGTTTAGTCCTTTAGAGGATGACAAATCAATATAATCTCTAAGATTTTTCACCCCACCTGCAGCCAAGAACTGATTTTCACACCCCTCAGGAATGCAGTCTATTGCAAATTCTGAATGAGTGGGTTCCGAATTAAGCCATTTCTCAGTATCAGCAGATCAACCTTGTCCTTTGTGCTCCCTGCACCAAAGTCAAGCTGGGACTCGTGGACCGGAAGGGAAACCCCTTGGAGTCTATGACCAATGTCTCATCACACCACTGGCCATGCCCCTTCCTCTGCAGCCTCCCTCCTGCCAGCTCCTGTCCTGGCTCCTGCCTGGCCCTGTGACCACCAGAGCTGGGGATTGGCAGGGAAGCTGGCACTGCGGCATGCTGGGAAGTGGGTCAGAAACATCCAGCCCAGCAATTCTGGTCCTGGGGTTCATGGAGGATAAACTTGAGAAGATCCCTGAAATCATACGCTCCATCTTGTAAATATATAAGTATATGCATTTTTCCAGGGAAAAGGGAGCTTTCATAAGTGTTTCTAAAATGAACAAGAGACAGGTCTGGCCCAAAGCCATCCACTCTCCCACCTGGACTCCAACTCCCTGTAGCTCTCTCCAGAGGCAAGCCCTGTTTCTCTGCTCCAGTTCTCCTCTTGGCCTCAACTCTGCCCCCATCCCAGCCCCAGCTCCCCCACTTATGCCCCAGAACCTTATCCACATGGCAGCCACAGAAATCTTTCTAAAACGTGAACCAGATCCTCCTCTTCCTTGCTTCAAAGCCTCTGAAACAGCTTTTTTTTTTTTTTTTTCCTTTTTGTCTTTTTCTGTGTCCGGCAACGGATTGCAACCCCCAGTGTCGCCCCCGTACCGGACCAGGACCGGCAACGGGATCGCAACCCTCGGTGTTGCTCCCGCGCCTCGCTCAGCCAGTGAGCGGGAACCGGTCTGTATGTGGGATCCGAACCCTCGGACGGGAGCGCCGCCACGCTTCCCAAGCGGCACACTGAGCAGTGCGCCACCGGGCCGGCCCTGAAACAGCTTTTTATCATCCCTAGAATAAAATCCAAACTCCTTGCAGGACTTAACAAGGGCCAAAGCAATCTGGCACCAGCTCAGCTCCCCCCACCTGGCCAGCCACCACCACACTCCAGCCACCCTGACCGCTTTCTGTGCCACCGTCACCCTGACCTCAATCCTGCCTTCGGCCTTGACATCAGCAGCCACCTCTTCCTGAATTTCTCCCTGTCTGCCACTGTCCCAACACAGTGCGGCTCCTTTTCTGCCAGATCTCAGCTCGAATGTCACCTCCTCAGGAGGCCTTCCCTGACTACCCCACCTAAAGCAGCCCCTCTCCAGTCACCATCTCGGCATCCTATTTGATTCCTCTGCAGAGCTCCCATCGGTATCTGATAATTTTCTTCCCTTATCCGTCTGCCTGTTGATGGTCTGTCTCCTCCAGTAGGATGTAAATTCCGACAGGGCAGAGGCCTTGTCCGCCTGCTCGCTGCTGTCTCCCTAGCAGATCAAACAGTGCCTGGCACTCAGGAAGTACTTCTCGAATGAATGGGTGAGTGCCACCTCCCATTTTCCAGATGAGAAAACCGAGGTTGAAAAGGGGAAGTGACTTGCCCCAAGCTAGCCTGAGGAGGGAAGCATCGGCCTTAGAATCAGGTCTCCTTGCTCCACGCCCCACCTTCCTGCCACCTATATCCCCTCCAGAGACTCACGTCCCCACTTCTCAGTCCCTGGAGGACGTGGACTCCCAGTCAGACTCACGTCCCCCATCTTCTCCAGGGCACTGGCCTAGAATTTCAGTGTTGGTGGTGGAGGGGGGGCTTCTTTCATTGTGGTTATATATATATATATATATATATATATATAAATGGAAAATTTACCATTTTAACCATTTTTAAGTGTGCAAGTCAGTGGCATTAAGTACATTCACATTCTTGTGCAACCGTCACCACCATCCATTCCCAGAACTCTTTTCAACTTGCAAAATTAAAACTTTGTACCCAGTAAACACTAACTCCCCAGCCCCTGGCAGCCCCACTCTCCTTCCTGTCTCTATGAATTTGACTTCTCTAGGTAACTCATATAAGTGGAATCATCCAGTATTTGTTCTTTTGTGTCTGGCTTATTTCACTTACTAAAATGTCCTCAAGATGCATCTGCATTGCAATATGTGTCAGAATATCTTGCCTTTTAAAGGCTGAATAATATTCTATTATATATATATTACATTTTTATTTATCCATTCATTTGTCAGTGGACCTTTGGGTTGTTTCCACCTTTTGGCTGTTATGAATAAGGCTGCTATGAACATGGACGTGCAAAGATCTGTTCAAGTTTCCACTTTCAACTCCTTTGGGTGTATACCAAGAATTGGAATTGCTAGGTCATATGGTAATGCTATTTTTAATTTTTTGAGGAACCACTGTAATGTCTTCCATAGTGGCTGTACTGTTGTTCATTACCACCAACAATGCACAAGGGTGTTTTTGTTTGTTTGTTTGTTTTCCCTTATATGTGCTGTTAGCGAGAGGACAGGGAGAAGGGGCAGCTGAGGCCTGTGACCCCAAAACTCTGCCCACAGCTGGGGGACTCAGAATTGGGCCCACTCACCCTTCTCTTGCCAGCTCTCCTGTCCTTGAATCCCAGGCCCACACCTGTGGGGCCAAACACTTCACCAGGCTTACATATGAGGACATCGACAGCAGCACAGGTCCCTGAAGGTCCCCAGGGGCACCTACCCAGGACTGTTCATGTTTCTGAATTTACTTTGGGTTCCCTTCAGTCCAGATAAAATCTACCTGCAGGAAGATAAAATCCATTCATAAGCACAGGCCCCCAGGCTCCATCAAAGTAGAGAAGCCACCTTGAAAACACATCCTGCCAAGTCTTTGGAAGTCACTGAGAGTCACCCAGCCCGAAACCTGTTATTTACTAGTGGTGAGTGTATGTACATGTCAGGGGGGGTGGGGCATTGGTTTGTAGCTTCCTCTTTCCGAGGCCAACAATAAGCTAATTCTGGCAACCAAAGTCAGAAATAGTCAAGCCTGCAGAGCAACGAAGAAACATTTATGACATTTAGATTAAAATACCTCCTATGTTCATTTTGGAGCAAAAAGAGGGTTTTGGTAAAAGGGGGCGGTTCTTAAACTTAGGTGCATCAGAATCCCCTGGAGGATTTGTTAAGACAGCTAGCCGAGCCCTACCTCCGGGGTTTTGGGCTCAGTGGTTCTGAGGTGGGGCTCAAACATTTACATTTTGAACATGCTCCCAGGTGATGCAGATGCTGGTGGCCCGTCAACCACACTTTGAATAGCAGGGTACTAGGAGAGTCTAGAAGGACCAGGCTTCAGCTCCTGAGCACATGTCCTACAGAAGGCAGGGGAGCAGAGACAGCTGGAAGGGAAACTTAAAACACAGCAGAACCAAGACAAAGCCCTTGGGCGCTCGCCAGACTGATTCAAGCTCTCAAGAAATAGTGACTAAATCCATCCAATTACACCTTTTATTTGCACAATAGCTTACAGAGCATTTCACTCTTGCCTTCTTGTCCAATCTTCACACAGCCCTGTTATTGTCCCCATCTTAGAGATGAGGAAACTGAGGTCCAGAAAGATGAAGCAGTTTGCTCAACAGTCCAGCACTTACGGGTTTCACTGGACAAGTGTTTGTGGGGCATCTACAATGTTCATAGCACCAGGCTAGACATGCGGGACTTAGAGATAAGCAAGAAATGGCACCCTCCCTAGGGAACCTCCAAGCCCATAAGACAGGAATGCCACGTGCACAAATTACTGCCACCTGGGGCCATGTATGCTGGGTGCTGTGGGCCTTGTCGGTTTGCTCTTTTTACTCCACGCACACTCTTATGGGAGGGCATCTCCTCCATGGTTTCAACTCCACCTTCACTCTGATGACTCCCAGCCCTCTCCCCAGGCTGAAGGCTGACATAACCAGCTTCCTGCCGCCCCACAGGACATGCTTGGTGAGGCCACACTAGGTCCATCATCTTCTCCACGAATCTGTTCTTGGAAGGTGCCTCCCACCTGCCCAGTCACTCACATTGAATGGCTGGCTTTCGCCTTCCTCCAGCAACTTCATCTACAGCCTTTAGTGAATTACCAAGCTCTACCATTTTCAGCTCCTAAGAATTTCCCACATCCACCTCCTCCTCGTCAGCTCTGTCACCAGTGCCCTAGATCGGCTTTGTTAAGACTGCCTCCCCAGAGTCAACGCAACAGTTTCCGACTAGGCTTCCTGTCTCCGTTTAACCACCCTCAAAGTCGTCCTCTAAAACACAAATCTAAGCAAGTCACACCCTGCTTCAAATGCTTCCATGGCTGTGTGGTTACCTACCCACCCACCCACCCAAGTACTCACTCATGCAACAAATACTTCTTGAGGGTCTGCTCTGTGGAAGGCACTACACTGGACACCGGCCCCTAGTGTCAAGTTGCTTTCAGTTATGGGGGAGGGGAAAAGATAAATGAAACAAGCTCATGAAGACAGCAGAGGATTCTATGGGAGTTCATAGGAGGTGATCTAATCCAGTCAGGAAAGGCCTTGAGCAGTGACAGTTATGCCAAGACCAGGAGAGGGGAGGGCTGCCCACGCAAGGGGAGATCGTGTCTGTGGAAGATGTGTGCAAACACTAGAGGCAGAAAAGGGCACCTCTGGGGAACTGGAAGTGGCTGGATTGACTAGATCTGGGTACGAGGTGGGCACGGCCAGAGAGGAGACTACAAGAAGCTGCAGACACTGACAACTAATGAGAAGGGAGGTGGGAAATAGTTAGGGACAAATCCGAGATGTTCCTCAGTGTCTGGTCCTTATAGGCCCTCAAAAATGGTTAGATGGATGGATGTGTGAAGAGGTGGGCAGGTGGGTGGGTGGACGGGTGAATGGGTGGGGGATGACGGATGCGTGCATGAGTGGATAGTGAGTGGGTGGGCAGGTGGGTGGGTGAATGAACGAAAGGATGGGGGGTAGAAGGATGGGCAAGTGGATGGTGGATTGATGGATGAATGGGCGGGGGGATGTGTAATGGGTAAATGGGAGAGGGTAGATGGGTGGACAGGTGGGCGGACAGATGGATAAATAGGAGTGAATGGGTGGGCGGGGGGGTGAGTGGATGAGTAGATGGGTGGGGGGCTGGAGGCTGGGTGCTGGGATGGAGGAGAGACCATCAACAGAAAGAGGAAAGTGAGAAGGAGGACTCGCAGGGGCCTCGCCTCTGCTCGGGCTGCCAGAGCTGGTCAGAGGGTCCTGCGTTCTAACCAGGCCTTACCAGAGCCACCCTCCCTGCTACTGCTCCCTGAGGACAGGCACCCCCAGATGAACTACACCTACACCTTCTCTACCTCGTCTCCACAGGAGCCTTGCTCCTCAAAAACCAAAGGACACAATGGATGCAAAAGTGTTCTGTAAATGGAAAAACATAGATGGGGTGGAAGAACCAAGCCTCATCTGACCAGAGCCCTCCCCTTGCCAGGTACGTTTCTGTACATTCATTCTCTCTTTCAGACCCACTTTACAGGTGAAAAAACTGAGGCTCAGAGAGATGAACCAACCTGCCGTAGATGCCAGTTGGGATGTCGCAGGCCAGGTTCCGAATTCAGACGTCTCTCTTTCAGACCCACTTTACAGGTGAAAAAACTGAGGCTCAGAAAGATGAACCAACCTGCCGTAGATGCCAGTTGGGATGTCGCAGGCCAGGTTCCGAATTCAGACTCGCCCACACTTTCCTTTTTACCATGCTCTCTGGCTGTTTATCATGATTGTCACTGAGCAAGAGCCCTCAATCTCCAGGCTTAGCTCCAGTCCTCACAGATGCCACCTCAAGGCCACCAGGCTTAGTCCTGGACCAGCCTTCTGCACCTGGATGATGCTCTACCAGGTCAACCATGTCTTCAGCACCCACTGAAGAAAACCTACTGTGTGCCAGGTCCGTGGTTTCCCAGGGTGAAGAGGGTTGGGGAAAAGAACCAAATCAACACTTTATCATCCGGCTAAGAAATTGAGAAAAACTACACACGAAGCGACAGTGCCTAAAAGCTAATCAGCATGGAGGTCTCTGATGACTTTAATGATCAAGAGAAATTAAGCCCCCAACAGGAAGGAAGGGCCTCTTTGACGCAAGCTCGGAGTCTTTTGCATGTTCCAAGTAGAAGGCGGAGGTGCCTGCATGCTGGATTTCAGCTGGCACATAAACAGTAATCTAATTCATCACCCCATTCTTCCATGTGGTGCATGCGGGCACGCACATAGACAGTTACTCATGGTGCCAGGGACTGCTCCTGGGAGCCCCAAGCCCACAGAGATGGGGAGTTTCCTGCGAGCCCAGCTTCCCTTCTCTTTAGCTGGCCAAACCTCCACACGCTTTAAACAAGGCTGTTTCATTTCCTGAAAATGCTCATTTCAGAGGCTGTTAATATTTCCCTTTTAGGAGAGTACAGAAATCAGGCTGCATTTCTCCTTAGTCCCCATCATTCCTGTCATGCAGCAATGACAACAAAGACAACAGAATCTATTTCTAAAGCCCTTACAACCATTTCAAAGTTCAGTTCCATCTGGGCTCGCAAAGTGCCCATGAGTCAGGTGGGGCTGGCATCGTAACCCATTTCACAGAACCTGCAGCTCAGAGAGGCGACACCAGTAGCTCAAGCTCACACTGTAAGTCAGGATGGATCTGAATCCAGATGTCCAGGCACCAACTTGCTGCCTTTAAGCTTTTTTGACCACAAACCATAGTAAAAAATACACTTTACATTGTGACCCAAGACACACAGACACACACACTCATACACATGCATGAATATGTATAGAGAAACAAACTTCCCCCAAAGCAATACTTACCCTATTACTTGCCATGCGCTCTGATATTTTCTATTCTATTTCATTTTTTAAAATGCAGGTCATGAGCTACTAGATTGATTTCCCAACACACTAAGGGATTTGGAAACAGCTGGATGGACCCCCACCTGTGCTGCCTGGCTTCTCCTGCAGACTCTGGGCCCCAGGAAGGCGGCGTGGTCTCTGCAGCCAGGTGAAGAGCAGACCGGGAGTGGGCATCGAAGTCCCGTAGCTCCTGGAATCAGGACGAGGGAGTGCTCCGAGGGGGAATCTGGGATGAGTCCTGTCTGACTCTGCCTGCCCCAGGTGGGCTCTGTCCTCACACCTCAAACAGCAGGCTTCCTGCAGCGGCTCTGCAGAGGCCTGGGTGACCCTGCAGCCAGGACCCGAGCTCTCCCTCCAGTGATTTCCCGCAGACCAAACCTCCCAGCTCTGTCTAGAAAATCCCCAGCTGGAGGCTGCCCATTCCCGAGCTGAGGCAGAATCATGTGAACTCCAATCTGGTGTCAGGCTGGGCGGTTGCCGAGGAACCACTCGCCAGCCAGAGGACGAGGGCGGCGGAACCGCTCCCCCACGCATCCTCCGCGGCTTTCTGCACACCCCAGAGTCAGTGAGCAGCCTTGCTGGGGAATGTCAAACTGGACTAGGGGCAGGTGCCCTTGGGGACTGGAGGGGATGCAGGAGGAATGGGGTGTGCTAATTCCATCCATCACATCACCTCCGGGCACCTACAGGGTACCGGGAGAGGAGACACAGGATGTGGCGCCCCTGCCCCAGGGCTTCCCACTGTAGCCCCAGGCCCACACCCAGATCACTAGACTATGCCATGGTCACAAGAACAATGGAACAACAGGCAAGGACAGGGGAAGCTGGCCGTTTTCACTCCTACCCCAACCTGTGACCCTTCAACCCCTAGCAGCCAGCATCTGGGTCAGTGGGTCTCAGTCTTGGCCACGTGCGTTAGAAAACACCTGGGGAGGGCCGGCCGGTGGCGCACTGCTACAGTGCGCCACTTGGGAAGCGCAGCGGCGCTCCCGCCGAGGGTTCGGATCCTACGTACAGACCGGTTCCCGCTCACTGGCTGAGCGAGGTGCGGGCGCGACACCGAGGGTTGCGATCCGTTGCCGGTCACGAAAAAAGACAAAAAGACAAAAAAAAAAAAAAGAAAAGAAAACACCTGGGGAGCCTATAAAAATATCGATGCCCAGGGCCAAGCCAGACTGATTAAGTCACGCTCTCTGTAGGTGAGGAGCCAGCAGCAATGTTTTTCAGAGCTCCCTGGATGACTCTAAAGTGCAGCTGGGTTGGGGGCCACTGAGGTGGTGGAGGTGATAGGATCCGCCCTGCAGAGTGGGGGTGGCGGGGCTCCAGATCCAGCCACGCCTTCCACTGCGGGCCCAGAGCGTGACCAAGCACAGGCCTCTGGCCTCGTGGGGTCTTCTGGCTCTCGGGAGCACTTACTAAACTCCCTCCATGGCACACTCACAGCACAGGAGGGCCGAAAGGACCCCTGGAGGGTACCCAGCCCAGTCATCATTTTACAGATGGGGAAACAGAGGGGAAGGTTCTAGACCAGGGCCTGACAGCTTTGAGGATAGAGCTGCGACTGCATCCTGTGGCTGACTTCAGGCGCCCTGCTGCCTTGACTTACCCACCTCCCTCCAAGGGGGTCTCCTTGGAAGTTGCTCACAGGATACATTGCGGGAGCCAGGAGACCAACAGACACCATGCATGGGGTCACTGGAGATGTGAGTTCTTCCTGCCCCATTAGGTGATCTGTGGGACTCGTCTTCTCCAGAGAGTGGTCTGCTATAGTCCTGTTGGGGGATGATATTGGTATGGGTTCCAGAAAAATCCCCTTCTGTGGGGCTCTCCAAGAAAATGCTACCGCACAGCAGGCCCTTTTAAAACTGTCTCCCACGTTAGTTGCTTCTTGCGGGCCTTCCATCACAGGCGCAAGGCTGCAGTTTGGTATACAGTGCAGCAGTCTGATCCAGACACAGGTGCTATTTCTGAGCTGTGGGACTGTGGTCGGCTTTCCCCGATGTCATATGGAAGGACTGGGGGTTAGAAGTACAGGATCGCCTTAGTGGTGACTGCCTGGCTACCCCAAGGACAACTCTGCCAAAGAAAGCACGTCCAGAACTCTCTACAGGGAGGCCCAGCCAGCAGGACACACAGAAAGGCTGTCTATACCATCACCCTCTATACTTGCAGGGACCACCAATGGCACTGTGTCCCCTCCCCCCTGGCACCCCTAGGGACAGCAAGCTGCCCAGGCTGCCCAGCCCCTCTGCCAGCAGCTTGCACCATGCCTCACCTGGAGAGGAAGGCCTCCCTCCCTCCCCACTGGGCCTCTGGGATGCAGATGGCAGGTGAAGCTGCTTCACTGTCACTCAAATTGGCTGAGCCCACGTCCTCTGAGTACCCACTTGGTAAGAGAGAAAAGAGCCCCTGCCGTGTTCTACCTTGATGCTAGGATTTCATCCACAACCTAAACCAGGAAGGGAGGACTAGAATTAGCGGTGACACCATGCAATGGCCTGGGGGGTCCCAGAAGCACCATAACTTCCACCCACCTCTCTAAGCAAACCTACAACTAAGTAAAAGTAGTAAGTTTGTCATAAAACTGCAGCTTCAGGAGAAGCCCCTGGCCCCCCTCCTCCTGTCCATGTTTCTGTCCTTCAGCCCAAAGTGGCAGAATCCTGGGAGGCCACCGACCGGAGTGGGGATTTAGTGGAGGGTGAGAATGCCTGGGCCCTGGGGCCCCCCTATGTGGCTCCTCTCATCCTGGAAAGACACAAGGGCCTAAATTGAGCCAGGCCTGCCACTTGCAGCCATGTTCTCATTGTTACTCTCTCTGTCTCTCTGCTCCAGTGATGGCAGGCATGAAGTACCATAGTCCCCCCTGGGATGGCAGCCCCAGAAAGTTGGACTGAGCCCTAAAGGTCCCTATCAAAGCTCCAGCATCAACATCTACTCCGGGACCTGGGCTTTGAAGGGCTGATGGACTTTTCTGAGTTGATCTGGAGGCTGCTTTGAGGGCGACAGGGCCGAGGCCACGGGCCTTCAGATATCCACTGGCCTCCCAGAGGCCCAGGCAGCCTAGGAGTCAGCATAGAGAGGACCCCGGGGTCTGCCCTGAGCTGGTGCATTGTGCAAGTCCTCCAGCACATGGCAGCAACCCCACAGTCACTTGGGGGACAGCTCGAGGTAGAGGTTAGGAGCAGAGGCTCTGGGCCCAACTGCAGAGGTTAAGTCCCAGTGCTGCCACTTTCTGGCTACGTGGCCTTGAGAATCACATACGCTGCAGACCCATAGACTTCTGTGAGAATCAAAGGAGATGAGCCCAGCAGGTGCCAGACACTTAGCAACAGGTCCTCGAAAACAGTGAGGATGCAGTGGCAGTGGCAGTGTCAGTCCACAGCCACCTCCATGACGATCTTTGGGGGAGGGGGCGGGGAGCATTATTCTGCCTCCCACACCCTCCGTGTTACACTTATTTAAAATCTTGTTCAGCAGCACTTCTCAGAGGCCAGTGTGCACGTGAATCTCCCAGAATCTTGTTAAAGTGCAGCTTTTGGTTCAGTAGATATAGGGTGGGGCCTTAGCTCCCAGGTCCATGAAGCCCACCTTTAGCTCTTGTATGCCCATGGAAATTAGTATAGTGCTGCACAAGTGTTTAGCATTAATAAGTGCTTGATAACTGAAAGAAAGAGAGAGAGACTGAGGTGGATGGGAGGGAGGGAGGGAGGGAGAGGCAGGGAGGGAGGGAGGGAAGGAAAACATCTGGACACTGCCCTCCACCCCCCACCCAACCGGGACAAAGTCTACTAAGGAGAGAGAAGAGAGAGATGAAACCAAAGCCATATGGAGTGGTCACGCTGTGCGGTGCATTGGGATGGAGTCTCTGGTGGGGGTGGGCTTGGAGCTGTGCCCCCGAGAGCGGAGGGTGGGCAGGAGAGGACTGAAGTGTGAAGGGACGCAGGGAGGAGGCCCCCCTCCTGGCACACCCTTTGCCCTATGGCCTAGCTGGTGGCTTACCCACTTGCTGGCCTCTGTTCCCCTCCCAAAAGGCCTCTCAGCCATCATTTCCATACTCTTCTTCCCAACCTTCAAGGCCAAATCCACCCACCCCCAATTCTTCAAGGCAGTGTTTCTCAGGTGAGCCAGGGGACAGCTGCATCAGTATCCCCTGGATGCCTATTAAGTACAGATTCCCGGGCCCTGCCCTGGACTCACTGAATCAGAGTTGCTTAGGGATGGAGTCAAAGAGGCCACATTTTTAGCAATTCCCCTGGGTTTTGGGGACACACACCAAAGCTTGAGAATGACTGCTTTCAGGCCCAGCTCAAATACCACCTCCTCCATACAGCCTTCCCTGGCACCCATAGGGTGACCCTGTCTCCCTCTCCACCCAACTCCCGCAGCATTCACTCGATCCTTCCCTGGGACTTCATCCTTCCCTGGCTGACTTGAGCCTTCTGAAAGGTGAGCACTGGGTGTCTCGTCACTGTGGCTGTGGGAGAGCTGGGACCAGGGTTCCTCACACACGAGTCCTGCCAAGGATGAATGGGTGCCAATGGAGGGGACGCAGGGTGGGTGCTGATGTGCCTTGAGCTGTCACCACATGCGAGGCACTGTGCTTTCCAGAGGCTGCCTTGATAATGCCTCCCAGCAACCCTGCCAGGCAAACATTATCATCCCGGCTTTACCACTGAAGACAGACAGTGCTGTCCAAGACCAAGGGTCACACAGGTGGCAAGTGGCAGCACTAGGATTCAAGTCAAGGTCTGAATTCACTGTATTTTAATAACGACCAGTGAAATGCATGGGAATGTGTATGATTCCTTGTTAATGCCCATCTCGCCCTTTAGACAATAAGCTGCATGAGACAGGAGGAGCTGGGTCTACTGTGTTCTCTGCTGGGGAAAATGCACGTGAAAAATAAATTGAATGTTGCAACGAATAATGAATCTAAATTCCATTTCTTCCTGCAGCCTGCCTGGAAGGCCAGGGTGAAATTGAAGCTAAGGAACTGGGGGAGACAGTCAGGATACGGGATGAGACAATAGGAAGAGGGTTGGTTTGACTCTCAGGGCGTGAGTGGGTGGCCCTTTGTGAAAACGTCTTACCACTGAAGCCTGCTGCTGCTGACGAGAGACTTCCAGCCAGGAGAGTCTGTGGTCTGAGCAGGTCTGA